GCCCACTTCCTAAGATGGAACTCACACCTGACACTGTTAAGATAGTCAGGAACCTGAGACTTGATAGCTCACAGGCCCTTGAGGAAAATTTACTATTATTATTCTACTAAAGGAACAAAGCAACAAAATGACTTCTAGGTGCATACTGCTATACTCACAGACCAACGCATCACTCATTCCTTATCAGAGAAGCTCCTCTTGTAGTAGGTGGAAATTAACAGAGACTCACAACTGAACAGTGCAGGAAGGGGGAAGACTCTGGAACACCCAATGAGTCTTCATCAAACCCCTCCCCTCAAGGCTCAGGGAACTGAAGACAAGACTGAAAGATTTTAAGAGCCAAAGGTAGTAGATGACTCCAAGGAAACAAGTGTCTTCGAGACACAACAGGACAGATATAAATAAGAACTCAAGAGACTGGCAACACATGCAAGACCTGTGCAAGTTCAAAGCAAACAAAAATCTCAGCACCGAGATGATGAGGCAGACACAAATTCTCCAGTGGAGTACCACTGGGTATATCAACCACATTCCAGGGCAGGCCCCATGGCCAAAGCATCTGGCCAACACAAAATCAACTGTGTGGTTTTTGTTTTGGTATTTTTTGCCTTGATGGTTATTTGGACCTCTGTTTTTGTTTAATGGGGGTTTTTGAGTGACTGGGGGGGCATACACAAGTATGCAATAGGAAGCTGGGTAGGATGTGGGAGGAGTTAGGGAAGAAGAAATATTAACAAAACATACTCTACGTAAAAAGGAATTTTAAATTAAAAGTTGACCCTAAATATTCACTAATGTCGAACAAATTATAATAATAAACAAAGTCCTGTTTAGAGCATAAGCTGGGTATGGTTAAGCTTTTTCAGTTTTTAATTATGCTCTTAGCAAAATTCTGGATTTTTCTTCAGAAAGATCTTGGCATCTCTATTTAATTCCTGGACCTTCAGGGTTTTGCTGAAGTGACTGAGATTTTTTTTTTTTAACCTACTGGTAATACTAATACAAAAGGAAACAAACAACTGTGAACTTGAAGGAACTGCTCTGAGACAACTCCACGGGTTGTCGATCAACTGTGACATCCAGAAGACCCAGCTGCTGGCTCCTTTAAATAGCTAAGCCTCTTTTCCCAAATACAAGTTTGGAACTTGGACTTTTCGGCTTCCCAACTCCCCGCATGCTTTCCAACAGGTCCTTTTCGCTCTTTGTCTGCTTTGTGTGTATTTTCTCACCCCAGTAAACTCTTCCCTAGAGTTCAGAATCTACTGATTCTTTTTACTGATATTTGCAGTGTTCAGAGACTCTCCACTTCATTTTTCCTGCCTTTTAATTCTTTAACTGGCAGAGAAGAAGTATCTAATAAAGACCCATAGACTGTCCTTTTGAGACTTCACCTTGGCAATCCTTCTGAAGATCATCAACTCATGAAGGAAGAACATTAAGGGAAACTTTCCACTGCTGAATTCAGTTCCTCCATCAGGCACAGGATGTTTCTTTCCCTTCATCTGGTGAAGAATTCAGCCTCTCTGGGAATCAAAGTGCCTGGGTATACATCACTAAGGACATCTATATAGGCAAACTTGTGTTCCCATGTTTAACCTCATCCTCAAGCCATTGGAGACAATCCTGTTGTCAAACCTGAGAAAATGCACCTAAAATCACACCCCTCAGGACTCTCTCAAGATCACCAATGTACAGATACTGAGTCAGTCTACAAACACACACTCAGGCACCCAGTCTGATGTGGTCGATCAATGACTCTCCTCAATCTCCCACAGGCTTGACCCACTCGAAGCGATGGTGCAATCCACATGGAAAGACATCAGCAAGCAGAAACACTGTCTTAATATGTTGACCATTGAGTTAGCTGAACTTAATAGCCAACTTCCAGACAAGAGGCTCCACCATACTAGGCTCTAGTCTTTTCTTTCTCAGTCAACCAATCATAAGAGACATCCCATGAGTCTGTAAGAATAGAGTCTATAAGTCTACGAGTTTATGCTTAGACCTGTTGAAGAACTTCTCCTATTGCAGGCCCTATTCTAAGCTAGTAGAGTTCCAAATCACTTAGTATATTAGCCAGAATAATACACTCAAGGGAGGAATGTGCTGTCTCCAGGATCCAAATAGGCCCACTAAACATTGTGCTTCTTTCTTGGCGGTAGAAGGGACCAGATACAATAATTTATCCTGTATCTTAGAGAATATCTTTGCATGACCCACACTACTGAGTTAAAAATGTCACCAATGTAGAAGCCCTTAAACTACAGTTGTACTTATTTCCTATCCTTTGACGTTACCAATGTGCATGAATCCAAAGTGGTGGCTAGTGGCTACGTCCTGCTCACTTGGTCCAATCACCATAACGTCATCAGTATAACAGATCAGTATGATATTCTGTGGAAGAGACAGATGACCATGATCCTTTCTAACTAAATTACACTACAGGTCTGGAGAGTTAATATATCCTTGAGGTCCAACTGTTAACGTATACTGCTGGCCTTGCCAACTAAAAGCAAATTGCTTCTGATGGTCCTTATAGATAGGTACCTGGAAAAGGGTATTTGCTAGGTCAACAAGTGAAAACCATGTACCAGGAGATGTCTTAATCTGTTCAAGTAAGGACACCACATTTGGTACAGCAGTTGCAATCAGAGTCACTACTTGATTAAGTTTTCAACAGTTAACTGTCATTCTCCATGATCTAAGATCTGTCTTCTGCATAAGCTAAACAGGAGACTTAAAGGGAAACGTAGAGTGAACCACCATCTGTGTATCTTTCAAGTCTAATCTTATAATGAGGGCTTTGGTTTGATTTTCTGCAACTTGAGCTCTATGGCTGCTAGAGAGGAAATTCTCTTCCAGGGCATACTTAGAAATCTTTAGGCTGTTTATACATATCTGGAGCTAGTCAAGTCTTCCACTAAGTTCTCTTCATCTGTTTCTGCATCTTGAGATACCAGAAGTTAGTTAATTTTATCCATAAACTTATTTTTGTCAAATAAATAGTCAATTTATGCAGAAATGCTAGAAGCAACCAGCTAACATCATTATTTTCCTTATTCTACATATTATCAAAAGTTTTATATACAGAATCACTAAATTCACTATTCAAACAGCAAACCTTTAAATACTCTGAACCATGGGCTTTGATTGGTCTCCATACTTTCAGGGGAGTCTTCGGTAATTGTAGGCATTGGCAAATGTCCAAGCCTGCTCCAGATACTTGAATTCATCCTTACAGTTCTGTTTCCCTATAACTACAACCCTTTATTAGTCAGAGTTCTCTAGAGGAAGAGAACTAACAGAATGAAAAAAATATGGGTTTATTCGAGTAGCTTGTGGTCAAGCTTGTCTAATGACAGCTGTCTTCCTAAGGAAAATGTAAGAATCCAGTAGTTGCCCAGTCCACAAGGCTTAATGAGTTAGCTGGTCTTCAGCATACACTGGAATCTACTAGAAGTGTGCTCTAGTATCAGTGAACAAATCAACTTGCCAGCAAGAACGAGAGTAAGCAGGCAAAGAACAAAGCTTCCTTCTTCCATGTATTTTAAAAATCTGTGGCTCAGATTTAAGTTCAGTCTTCCAACCTACAATGATCTGGATTTTCCAATTAACTAAAAGTCCCTCACAGGTGTGTCCAGCTGCTTGGACTTTTTTTTTCTCCCTTTTCGTCAATTACAGATATAGTCAAGTTGACAACTAAGAATAGCCATTACAGATACCAAATTGTAAGATATTTTCCTTTCTGAGTTTATATTCAACAAATTTGTTTACTGAAAAAAAAAAAAGGATTGTGTACCCATGTTCCACAAATTCTTGTAACAAATAAAATAGATATATCAATAAAAACAAATATGACTCTCTAACTTCATAGATCCTGACTTTATGACACTTTTCTGTGGTTTACTATTTTATAGCAAATCTACATTACTGTGACTCCTAGCTGAGCAAGTTCCTCACTTTCTAGGTTCATGTCTCCTAATCAGGAAAAATGAAAATAATCTCACCTAGCACATAGTGTTAAGTGTACAATGGCACAATATTCACTGTGGTGGTTTGAATAGGAATGGGCCACACAGCCTCCTATATTTGAATGCTTGGTCTTTAGGGAGTGACACTACTTGAGAGGGATTAGGGGGTGTGGCCTTGCTGGAGTAGGTATGGCCTTGTTGGACAAAGTGTGGGCTTTGGGTTTCAAAAGCTCAAGCCAGGCTAAATATCGTTCTCTCTTCCTGTTGCCTTTGGATTCAAATGTAGACCTCCCAGCTACCATGTATGTGTGAATGGGACCATGCTCCTCACCATGGACTACACCTCGGAAGTATAAGCAAGCCTCAATTAAATGCTTTCTTTTATAACAGTTTCTGTGGTCATGGTGTCTCTTCACAGCAATAGAATATGACTAAAACAATCATAAATCATTTAGCTCAGTACCTTACATATAATGATCATTTAATAACTGTAAGCTATTTTAAAGCATATTTTTAGAGTAGTCATAAAATTGTAAAGTTTTGTATAAGAGGAAAAATGAATTCTCCATAGGTGACAAAGAAAGCTTAAATCACTGAGCATTCTGTTACTGACACAGGCAAGCCACTCACCACACAGCATGCTATGTCTTGCTAACTTTTTCTTTCCTCCAAAAGACTCTGAGCGCTGAATAAAAGAAATGTACCACATTTTTCTTAATATCCCTTAGCACAGTAGCAGGCAATAAAAAACTCACTGAATAGTTATAAAATGAATACATGGGTGAGTATTGCCAGTTTCAGGAAAGAGATAGGCCATGCTAGAACTGATGGCCACACAATCCCAGCTGACAAGGAAGGAAATGTTTCATTTTTCATTACCTAGCCTACTATTATTTCTTTGTCCAGTTCAAAAGTGAAATGTGTGAAAAATCTTTTCTAGCAAATTAAAGCAGGCAAGACCGTCTACAGAACTACCACTAGGGGGATCCACAGGCTGCTGTGGAACCTTCACAGCCACTCCATACTGAAATGCTGAAGTTATCACTACAGCTTCCTAATCCCTAATTCCAAAACCATGGGTAGAGAATGGTAACATCTTGAAGGATGCTTATTTACAAGATGCCATGAGTCAGCAGAGCCAGAGATTTCAGCAATCCTAAAGCCACTATTCCCAGACCATCAGGGCTCCCACTACCTCCAACCACAGTTCTAGAAACCTGAAACCAAAATAATGGCATCCCTCTATTACCAGCCACTTGGAAGAAAAGAAGACTAAAGCCAAACAGCCTTTTCCAGAACTGTAAAGTGGAGTAAAGAAAGTGCCCCATTAGTCCCTGGTGTAGAACACAAGCTCGCTGTTTTAAGATGACGATGAAAAAGCATTTCCACAAATTAGGCTTTTTAAAGAAATTTCAGTTTGTTAATAAGCCAATCTTTAAAATTCTATTTTTATATATACCAAAACACCCAAATTAAAACCAAGGCATTTTCTCATCTCAAAACACTTTAGCCTTTTGTTTAGCTGGGGCTGTGATGCCCTTTCTGGCTTCCACAGAGAGCAGACACACAACACAGACATACATCCAGGTAAAACACTCAAATGCATAAAAGAAAAAAACGTAATAAATCCATTTTTCAATGTTACTGCATACCTAATCTACAAAATCTACATGTTTAGTGTAGCAATTTTTTTCTTGTTAGTGTTACTAGTTCCTACACAAACTACTTGTTTATGAACAAAAAATAAAGATATGTTAACGAAAATTGAAAAAGGTACAAGAATCTAGTTACTTACCATTACTCTGCAGTGTTAATCCTGAGAGGTCTTATTTTTTTTAAAGGGAGAGAAAATGAAACATAAATCATTACCATGAACATATCTTCCATTACATTTTAAATTATAGAATTTAATTTAAATGATCAATTTAAGCCAGAGAATGAATGAATGAACATACACGCACACACACGCACACACGCACACACGCACACACGCACACACACACGCACACACGCACACACGCACACACGCACAGTTTAAATTTCTAATGTATCCCATCTTATTTGCAACAACAATGTACAAAGTAGGTAAAGGATCAATTTTATATACTCAAGTTTTAGAAGTAAAAAAACCACAAATTTGTTCTGATTTAAGTATTTGTATTTCATTGAAAATACCTGACTCCTGAGCCAGGCATGGTGGTGTGTACCTCTAATGACAGTACTCAAGAACTGCAAAGAGGAAGGCCAAGAGTCATCCTTGGCTACATAGCCAGCTCTTGGTCAGCCTGGGACATGAGACCTAGTCGTAAATAAAATTTTAATTCTGATTCTTTAACTTCATTTGAAGCCTTGAGTAGTCCTCTAATAAAAGCTTTAACTTAGGAAAAGTAAAATATTACTAGGGTCTTTTCCCTTTACACATTTACAAAGGTTCTGCATGTGACAGTCAACTTACCAATTCCAGGTGAAACAACCCGCTCATAGTGATATGGATTCACACAGACACTATCACATTTTAAGTCAAATGCATACTGACAATATTTAACATGTTTTAGTTCATTCTTGTGTAGATCAGGCCACCTCCACAGACGAGCATAGATCACATGAGGAAATCCTTTTCGACCAGCCACCTAGGAAAAGAAGCAATCATTTACTAAGTATAAGTCATTCAAGGGACTTACTATACAGACTGAGCATCTGTGACACTGCAAACACACACATGGCTTTGCTCCAATTTCCGTGTATACAACTAAAATCATACGCTTCTAAAAGTAGTCTCTTTTTTCTGAGGTCTAAGCTAACTGAAGGCTACAGCTCTTAAGTATCATCAGTAAGGGACAATCACAGGAAAGATGATAGCAGAACTTTAACCTCTACTCCCCAACCTCTGCTGAAGAGAAAGGTTATAATGTAGAATTAATTACAATGACTTAAATTATGTCTAGGTAATTAAACCTGCTAGAGAAAAGAAAGAAAGAAACGAAAGAACAGGGTTTGAGAGCTTGGGATAACTGACCATGTGGTCGCTGGAGGCTGGTCTTCTTGGAGAGGCTATGGAGGTTTACTTTGCCTATGCATCTCTCAGTCTGTAGCCTTTGCAATACCCTTTATAATGGTAAATAAGGTTTCCTCAGTTATGGAAGATGCTTGAGTAAATTACTTGAGCCTGTGGGTTGGACTGTGGGAACTCTTTGCACCAGACAGACAGCACAGGTAAAACAACCAGACGATTATGATTGGCATCTCCAAGTAGAGTGGGTCAGAACTGAACTGAATTAGAGGATGCTCAGGTACGCTATCTGAAGACCTGCTTATTTGCCAAGATAAAAGAAATCTTCACACCTTTTAAGGTCACAGAAGAGATGTGTCTTCAGCATACACCAAGAAAAACAGGTTTGAGAGTCCCACACACAATTCTACCCCCACAGCCAATTTTAGACTGTAACTATCCTTTCATAGATGAGAAATCCAAAGTTCAAAATAATTAGAGCACTCAAGTATATACCTGTAATCTCAACACTCAGGAGGCTGAGATGGAAAGAAAAAATTTCAAGTTCTAGGTTAGGCTGAGTTACAAAGAATAAATAAATAACCTATCCAGGATCACACATTACAGCAAGAATTGGACCTGAGTTCAATTTCAAGGCCTGCACTGAGGTTTTTAAGATGCAAAAAGTATGAGTTTGTCAAAAATCATGTCTAAAATCTAGAAATACAGTTCTAAAACCTACCATCACATTCCCACACTTCTTCACACATACACCTTTGAATGAAACAAGTGACCACTGAATGTCTCCTCCAATGAGAGTAGTGTAACATACCTAAATTACAAGAGTCCAATGTACCAGTTTGGATATTTACAATATCAAAAAGGGTTGGCAGGTGGGGAGTGGGAACTATAAAATGAATATAAAGGTAGTTAGTTTCCAATAGAGGGCTTCTCATTTATTTTTCAATTTTTCTTCACTGCATGATTTTTGAATAATAACATAAAAAAGATAACATCCATCTTTTGTGTATTCTTCAACACACTCTCATCATGCACACTGGCAAAAGATGCACAGATGTCAAGAAACAGAGCCATGGAGCTCGCAAGATGGCCCAGCACTGAGAATCCCCAATGCAGTATTATGACAAGCAGTTTGATGGCAGCATCTGGGAATGCTCTCTTCTGGCCTCTTCCAATATCTGTATACACATGTGCACATATACACACATAAGTGACAAAAATAAATCTCTAAATATATGAAATAAACATATAGAGATGGAGCTCACATTAAATTCGTAGTAACTTAAGAGGAAATCTTAAAATATCTATTACTCTACACCACAGAAGACATACAAAACAACTCTAAGACTAACCTGAAGTCGTCCGTCCAGTGTTCTCTGTATAGTGACACATTTGCTAGGATGAGCTCCATTTGTAGTTATAGCTGTTATTAAAGAATCCAATTCATCTTTTTTCTCTTTCAGCTTCTTCACCAAACTCTCAATTGCTCTTTTTGCAAAGGTTTCACTTTCTCCACCTTGTCTATGACACATCAAGCTATGTACAATGCTCAGACAGGCATCATTACTTGTTGGTGTATTTGTTATAGACATATTGTCCATTTGTTCAAGTTTTTTCTTTTAAATCAAACTCTCCAATTTCTGGAGTAATTTTGATCTTTTGAAGGCAGTGAAAACCAATGGCCAATGTTGCAAGAAAAATTGTCAAGACATCTGGTGAGCAGGATAATCTAAGAAAGAGAGAGAGAGATGAGAACACATTTCACAAGGTAGATACAATTATTTTGGGACGAAAAACTGTTCCATTTAAGTCAAAAAACTCAATGTCCATAGTTTTAACAATGTTTAAAGTTTGAAATGCTTAATTATAAATTATAATTATAAATATAACTAGTTTTGATACTCCAAAATCATTAAACAGGTCTTCTCATTGTTTCAAAGGCACACTAAATCAAGTTTTGCCAAATGTGCCATTACTCCAAATTTTTACTTAGTTATTTCTGTACCCTATTTTCTATGCCACTGCTACAATTCTGACCCTTCTTAGAATTCACACTAATCATTGGTATTTAACATTCACTTCCTCTAAATCTCAACCTTCCTAATGCTGGGACCCTTTAATACAATTCCTCATGTTGTGATAATCCCCAACCATAAAATTATTTCATTGCTACTTCATAACTGTAATTTTGCTACTGTTATGAATCATAATGTAAATATTTGATATGCAGGATATCCAATATGCAACCCCAGTGAAAAGGCCATTCAACCTTCAAAGGAATCAAGATCCTCAGGTTAAAACTGCTGCTCTAAAGTTATTTTTAAAATGTTTCTCAACTCATTATATCTCCACATAAAGAAGCAAATTTTCATGTCTGTCAATAATTATCACTTACTCATATGTATAAATACAAATAAAAAGATGAAGCAAGGTCTTACTCTGTAGCCCATGCCGGCCTGGACCTACCACAATATCCCTGAATCAGCCTCCTAACTGCTAAGATTACACCCAGATAATAGACAGTCATTGACGAGACACTTTCCAGATAAAAATTATTTGCACAAGGGTAGATGGAATCAGAGATCAGGATTAGTTAATTAACCCGATTCTGAAAATAAAAGAAGAGCTCATGGGAGAAAAAGCAATATGAAATGTACCGTACATAGTATTCAGTACAAAGTACTCTCTGTCTGAATCCTAAGATATTTGTTTTTAAAGGATGTTATCCAAAACACATTCATTTAGATCTTCTCCTAATAAAGCATAGCATAGAAGCACAGTGTGCAAAGTCTTACTTTTAAGTAATGATTTATTTATGGAGAAAAGGAGGAAGGGAGAAGTACAAGAAATCATTGTATAGTCAAAAAAGAAACGGTAAACAGAAAGAGAGAACATAAACCCTGGCTAGGCATAGTAGTGCACACCTGCAATCCCACCTCCTTGGGAGACTGAACAGGAAGACTATAAATTCAATGCCAGACTGTATAATTCAGTAAGCACCCCTACACACACACACACACACGCACACACACACACACACACACCTTTCCTAAGGCTAAGCTATGGGTGAGTACTAAAATGCCTGCTTAGCGTGCTGAAGACCCAAGATTCAATCTTCAGACTGGAAGAACAGAAAAACCTCCAATCTAACCTGAGAACTACTAGTCTTATACCAGGTCTCACTGCCAGGCTCACTAGTTTAATTTCTGTATTACAAACACCTGTTGTGGAGGTTTGAATAAATATGGCCCCCTATAGGCTCAAATATTTGAATGCTTCATCTCCAGGGAGTGGCAGTATTTGAAAGGATTAGAAGGATTAGGAGATATAGTCTTGATGGAGGAAGTGGGTCACTGAAGGTAGGCTCTCAAGTTTCCAAAGCCCTCCCCATTCCCTCTCAGCCTGCAGAACAGAATGTAGCTCTCAGCTACTGCTCCATGCTCCCATGATGATGATGATGGACTAAACACTAAACCTCTGAAACTGTTAGCAAGCCCCCAACTAACCTGGTCTTGGTGTCTCTTCTGTCTCACTGTTCAGCAAATGAACAGTATGACTAAATCACCTGTGAATCAAAACTGGAACTGTCATCCTCATCATTATATACCCATTCCTAGGACAGGTAAGTCCCACATATTGTCCAACAAACACATTGCTGTATTTCACATGCTTAATTCAGCATTTCTTTGGCCTAAAACATTCACCTCCATTTTAACCACTCAGTAATTAAGCCCTAGCTTCCTTTCAAATTACAGTCAAAATTATTTTAATTGCCCCCAAGGTTTCCCCTACTAACTGTCACCTTGCTCTCAATCCCCAAAAATTACTTCCCTAATATGTTTATGTTTCTTTCTTATTGTATTACTTGATCCCTTCCCTCAAATTTAAGGTACATCTTATACTTTATTATATTTTACACACCATATTACAGTAACTTCACCATATTTGTCTCTCAGTTCTAAAAGTTAAAAAAAAAATAACACTACAAATTTAGAGGGTCAAGAAAACATAGTCTCACTTTTCAAATTCCCAACACCATGTAGTTCCTGACTATGGTGGTTTGAATAAAAATGACCCCACATCTCCTATATCCCAAGTTGGTAAGGACTAGGAGGTATGACCGTGTTAAAAGAGGTGTGTCACTGCGGGGTGGGGGTTGGGGGTATTCTCACCACTGTCCTTGTGCCTACCACCTTGTGGCTGTTGTCTCGACAGGTAAGCTCTCGGCTCCTGCTCAGGTGCTTCTCTGCTGCTTGTACACTCCTCACCATGATGACCAAGAACTGACCCTCTAAAACTGGAAGCAAGCTCCAATTATACACTTACTTTTGTTAAATCGCCTTGGTCATGGTGCTTTGTTGCAGCAGTAAAAAACAAAACATCAACACACACCAATCAAGTATCTATAGACTGGCTATACCATTTTTATTCTGTGGTACTGTCTTAGGACAAATTTAGTTTGCAAAGAAGGTCATTTGTATTCCCTAATTATTATAAATCTGTACCAATTTATAACTGCATCTAACCATTTTTCCAGTGTCAATACTAAAGGTTATTCTTTTAGTAAACTTAGGCTGTCTGGGGCCTGGCAGTATTGCAAAGGCTGTATCAATTTTAAGTTTCTTTAAACACAAAAATAACTTAGTTTCATAAAAAATGCTTTCTTGTATCTTATATTTTATTGTATTCCTTAGATCCTAAGGATCTTATATATAATTTAGAAGTTTCTTACAGGAAAATAGTATCAGCAGGGATATATAAATGTATTCCTACATTATATGGCTTTAGACTATAGAAATGTGATGGATATGGGCAAATACTGATGATATAAATAAAGCTGTATATTCTAACTAAAGTTCTAACAACATAAATGACCTCCTTAAATCTCTCAGTGGTCTCGACTATGAACTGGAAAATGGGCACAGCATCTATCTGTCCTGCCCACCCTGCAGACTAATACAGAGTAATAAAATGCAGTGTATACAAAACCATGTAGGAACCATGAACTGACTAAGGCAACCAACCCACATTTGCAGACACTCTAGAGCTACATATTAGTAGGCATGTATCAAGAAAGCATTTTCTCAGACTAGCATCCCATTTCTGTAACAACCTAGAGCACCTCCTTTGTTGTCTTGAAATTAAAATGCAATCAATCTGTTTAAGAAATTAACTGTCTTAATAGTTAAAGGCAGAAAAGACTTACATAGTAAAACTTGTATTTTGATATAAAGCATATCAAATCAGAAATGTAAAGAAAGAAGTTAAGGTCCCAGACTGTACCTCAGTAGATTATATATTTAGTATGGATTAAACTCTGGAACCCATTTTACCAAGGAGGTAAGATGCTAGTACTTTGCGTGGTCTCATAAACATCAGAGTTACACAGTCACTTTTTAAAACAAACATATTGGGACATCTTGGCAACATTGATTTTCTCAAATGGTAAAAAGATAAAGCTAAAAACAAAAAAAGCTTCAAATAAGAAAAATTTAATTCCTAGAACTGGACTATACACTAATTATATTTTCCTCTTATGTGAGTTTGTAGGACATTTTCAAGTCTTGTGAGGTACCAAGATAATTCTTCACTGTGTCTTCCAAAATGCTATCACTTAGACCCCAACCTACAAGGCCCTCTCACAAAAATGTCTACATTACCCCTTAAAGAGCATTGCTTACTCGTAAAGAACTAACTCTGGCTGGGTGTAGTTTGCACATCAGCAGCCCCAGCTAACAGGGAAGCTAAGACAGGAAACCACCTGGGCCACAGTTTCTTAAACTTATGATCATAAATTTATAATCCCATCTGGGGGTCCGTGCGCACACACGCACACACACAGACCCAGTAGTAAGGGGTTTCTGAACCCACAGAAAACAAGTAATAAAGCCACGGCGTTCCTGGCAGTGCTTCCCTGCACTCAGTGTGTGACTCTGCTGCAGCCAGACTCCAGATGACTCTTTACAAACTGCAGTGTTCTTACTGCAGTCTCCAGCTCTTACTTAACAGAATGGTTTAACTGCAGAGGACAAAGATGCATTTTCCTGCCAGCATTCTTCGATACGTATCAAGTTAGTGTAATTTTGGATTATGTTATATTAGAATGTTTGGTCTTTAAAAACTGTCATTTGAGTGGCTGACCTGAATTTCATTTTCTTTTATTTGCTTAATGAGTTTGGGTTTGGGATTGGAACTAGATTCCCACCAATTGTGAAATGGCTCTACACATCCTTCTTCTACCTTGTACTGTGTTTATGTGAAGCAATATTCTCAGCACTGATGATCATAAAACCAAAATACTAACCAAATCTGAAAATAATGAAAATATTCTCTATCTGGCAGCTTCGTATGTTTAGCAAAGACATAATTCTTTATGTAAAAATCAACAAGCACGTCCATCCTATTAGTACACAAATTTACTTCGATCTTCAATGAATTCTAAAACTCATTCTAATAATTTTTGTACAGCCAAAAATTATTAAATAAATTATGCTTTACCAGTCAATGTTTGAATTGTATACCTATTTTTAAATGCTATATATCCAAGTCAAATCAAAACTGTTTTGAGTACAAAGGTTTAAAAAGCTGGGCAACACAACAAGATTTCAACTCATAAAATAATAAATAAAATACTTTTTCCTTTTCTTTATTTTTCTTTGGGGGTGTGTGTGTGCGAGGGGAGCTCAAGACAAGGTTTCTCTGTGTAGCCTTGGCTGTCCTGGAACTCAACTCTGTAGACCAGGCTGGCC